CAAATCAAATAACACTAAAATTACAGACCCTTTATGCTGTTTTACAACAACAGGAACACCACGCTATACAATACACAGTAGATTGTTTTACTGCTAAGGCACATCTGGGTTTAACATAAAGTATTCTGATATCCTGAGGTTCACTAAAAGGTTAATTGCTGTTCGAAGCTTGAAGTTTGTCAGTTGCTTGAAAATTTCTAGCCTCCAGGTCATAAAAAAAAGTTGGATGCTCTTTGCTTTAACATGTTTGATGATTTGAGGTATGATCTCTTAAATTTTAAAAAACTGAAAACTTCTAAAAATGATAAAATAACATGAACATACTGCAGTTGCTGGAGATCGTAAATGAAAATAGAAAATGCGAGAAAAACTCAGCAGATCTCACAGCATCCGTGGAGAGAGAAACAGAATTAATTGATGGAATATTCCCCTTCCTGATATGGTATGAGAAAGTTGTGAAAGTATCGCAGTTACATGCATATGCATTTACCTTATTTCCATGTCGAGTGAAACGTTAACTCTGATTTCTCTCCACAGATGCTGCCAGACCTGCTGAGCTTTTCCAGCAATTTCTGTTTTTATTTCTGATTTACAGCATCAGCAGTTTTATTCGGTTTTTATTTAGTGCACTGGAGTAGTCAATGTAGGGTGATGTCAGGACGTATTCCTCAGCTGGAAACAGATACTCTCTGCGATGGCATCAGTATGAGATCAGAGACTTATTTTAGGGTCAAACGTGACACCAAAGTTGTGAAGAGATTGATACAGTTGGGGATGGGGGGTTCGGTTAGCTCAATTGGCTGGGTGCCTGGTTTGCGAGATAGACTGATACCAACAGCACGTTGGTACTGGCTGAGGCGACCATAAAAATCTCTCACCTCTAGGCTGCAAGGTTTCTCTGCACAGTTATTAGTGTTGGCATGCTCATCGCCAGATTGACTTCTGGCTCTGGAAGTCGCTTTAACTCATCGGCCTCAGAGGCAAGTGCAACCAGAAAGAAAATTAGACGGTGGTGCCTCTCATGTTAAGTTCAACACTAGTTTACTCTCTCCACTGAGATACAATAGTTCCTTTATCTTTGCCTTAGTCTCAGACAGTTACCATGAAGAGGGCTGGAGGCAGTAATTAGGGATTGGGGACTGAAACCAGTGGCTTCAGTCCTCCCAGTATTTAATTGAAGGCAATTTCTGCTCATCCTGTACTGGATATTAGATAGGTAACCTATCAGGTTAGGGGCAGCAGAAGAGTTGAGAGAGCTGGCGCAGTGACTCAGTGGTTAGCACTGCTGCCTCACAGCATCAGGAACCTGGTTTCACCCCCCACACTTGGAGGACTGTCTGTGTGGAGTTTGCACATTCTCCCTGTGTCTGTGTGGGTTCCCTCCGGGTGCTCTGGTTACCCCCCACAGTCCAAAGATGTGCACGTTAGGGGAATTGGCCATGCTAAATTGCCCCATAGTGTTCAGGGATGTGTAGGTTAGCCATGGGAAATGCAGCATTATGAGGATAGGATAGGGGGCTGGGTCTGGGTGGATGCTTTTCAGAGAGTCAGTGTGGACTCGATGGGCCGAATGGCCTGATTCCACACTGTAGGGATTCCATGATTCTATGTGGTGGAGCTGTGTGTTGTTAGTGTCCAAATCCTGCTACACTCACTGACGGGCATACGAGGGTATATTTCAGACAACACAACAGAGCTTTGGAAAATAGAACTAATGCCATTTTATGTTCCGTTTTCAGAGGGCCGGGCGTGTGCTGTGGTCTTCGACTGTAAGTTCATTGAGACGTCAGCTGCCCTGCACCACAATGTGACGGAACTGTTTGAAGGCATCGTGCGGCAGATACGGCTGAGGAAGGACACAAAGGAGGCCAATGAGAGGAGGATGGCCAACCACAAGAGGAGGGAGAGCTTCACCAAGAAAGCTCGTCGCTTCCTGGACAAGTTTGTGGCAAAAAACAACAAGAAGATGGCCCTGAGGGCCAGGTCAAAATCCTGTCACGACCTGTCAGTTTTGTAAATATCCGAAAGGGGATTTGCAAAACAACACTCGCTAACTGTTTAAGTCAGGACAGACTTCCTATTATTGCCTCTCTCAACAACGTGACCCAGTGGTCACTGAACCCAGTGGTGGAAACATGGTTTACTGAAGATAAGTGAATATTTGAGACATAGTGACTGACAGGTTGGGGTTTTGTTGGAAACTCATGAACCTGCCCCCGCATTAAAGCGTAATAACATTCACAAACGTCACGTATGTGACAGAAACCAAGCCAACATAAGATAATGTTTTCTTTTGTGGGGAGAGTTCTGCTGATTAGCACTTTGATCACCATCATTTCTGGGCTGCTGATAATGTTTCCTTTGTGTGGATTGCCTCATTCACCTTCTGCTTAAGCCCATTACTGCTCAGTGAAAGTCCAAATCTTGAAGATAACTAAGATCTAGATCCTACCTTACCGATGTTGTGTTGAATGTCTTCAAATTTGATATCAAAGACTGAAACTCAAGTTGGCATATCTTTATATCTGCAGTGTTTACATGGGCTCAGGTTTTATTTCGGGTGGGAGTGGGGATTGGGTGTGCTATAAGATATGTAATGATTTTTATCTTGGAATAATTAATTTAGAAAACACTTCAGAAAATTAGAGCATTATACCTCTAGGAATTTTTATGAAATTTAGATTAATGATAGATCATATGTAAGAAGAAATAACCTTATTTCTACTTAACTCTTAAGTATAATCATAGTGGTTCCTAGCTCTTTGATGGAGACCCTTCACAAAGTCTTGTCATGCAGCAAATGAGAATCAACAGTTGTTGATTGCCCATGTAGAACTAGCATCAGACAGACTCTGTTTACAGTGGTAGGGCCACCAGAAAGAGTGTTGGTGATTATAATTGGTGAGTCTATTTCTAATCAATTTCACTCAGAATGAGTGATTCTGCAGTGGTGCAAAGTGGATCAGGGTAGCAATGGATAGTGAAAACATAATCTAACGGTTTGCCTGTCTTGAGCAATGAGGCTTGCAACCAATATGAGCATGCTTTCCTGCTTGGAGGGGGCTGGAAGTTGTTGGAAGAAAGTATCAGGTAGAATTGGAGGCCAGGAATCTGTTCATTCCAACCAGAAAAACATGGCACCCATGCTCTGAAAGTCAAACCTTGATTACCCCAATAGACTTCAGTCAGTGCATCTCAATACAAACCTGTGGGACTTTGAAATAAGAAGCACAGTAGACAATGTAGAACTGGTTTGTCAAGATATCCCCAGAACATCTGACCTCTCATCCTTATGTTCCTTTGATAGAAACTTTGAATCATAGAAGTATACATCAGGAAACAGGCCCATCGGCCCAACTCATCCACGCTGACCATGTTTCCTAAACTGAACTAGACCGATTTGCTAGTGTTTGGCCCATATCCCTCCAAACTTTCTTATCCAGGTATCTCTCCAAATGTCTTTTAAATGTTGTAATTGTACTCACCTCTACCACTTCGTCTGGCAGCTGGTTCTCTATACGTACTACCCTCTGCATAGAAAAGTTTCCCCTCAGGTTCTTAATTAATTGGTAGGATGTTGGCGTCAATGTCAATGTTTATCGCCTGTCCCTAACTGCCGTTGAGGATGTGGCAAGTCAGCATCATTACCAACATTTCACCAAATCCATCTCAGATATTATTAAATTGGAGAGGATGCAGAAAATATATTATGAGGATGTTACTGGGACTGGAAGGTTTGAACTATAAGGAGAGGCTGGATAGGCTTGGACTTATTTCACTGGAGTGTAAGAAGTTGAGGGTTGACCTTATATAGATTTATAAAATCATGAAAGGCATAGATAAGGTAAATAGCCAAGGTCCTTCCCCAGGGTGGGAGAGCCCAAAACTACAGGGCCATAGTTTTAAGATGCAAGGAGAAAGTTTTAAAAGGATCGGAGGGGCAACTTTTTCACACAGAGGGTAGTTTGTGTGTGGCATGAACTGGCAGAGGAAGTAGTAGATGCATTACAGCGACAACATTTAAAAGGCTTTTGGATAGATACATGAATAGAAAAGGTTTAGAGGGCTATGGTCCACATGCAGGTAAATGGGACTAGTTTAGTTTGAGAAACTTGGTTGGCATGGACGAGTTGGACAGAAGAGTCTGTTTCCATGCTGTATGACTCTATGACTCTATCACCTCCAGAGATTATCCCCTCAGAGACTCCCAATTCTGCAAAGTCCACTCATCTCATCCCAGGATGATCCCACGAACTTACAGCCAGAGTGGGTCAGTCTCTCCCCTGAAAATATCCTCCAAGTAAGGAGCTTAAACTTAAAGAAAATTTCAAGTGTAGAGTGCTGGACTTGAAATGTTGACTCTGTTTCTGTCTTCATAGATGCTGCTGAGTTTCTCCAGCATTCTCTGTGCTTGTTTCAGTGTTCAACATGTCAGTCTTTCATTGACAACAAAAACGTGCATTTGAGAATTTGAGAATTAACTGTTCTTATTTGTTGTACTTCAATCAGTTCTAGCTGACCCACTCTCTCTGGCACTTGTGGGTGTAAGCACATTGACTAGTAGTTGATGGGGCATGATGTTCCCCTATGATGCCCAATGAACATAGAACATAGAACCGTATAGCACAGTACATGTCCTTCAGCCCACGATGTTGTGCTAACCAAGTATCCTACTAAGATCAAACTACCCTGCATACCCTACATTGTACTCCTTTAATAAAACTCCTTTAATGTGGGAACATGTTGTTTTGCTGAAGCCTAAGAAGTGCAGATAATTGTAAATGGAATGAAAAGCTTTGTCAAGGCCTGTGCTGTAATTCAACTGTTAAAAGTTAAACTTGAGGCAGGTTGTTGATGAAAGAATGTCAGTAGCTTCCTACAGCCTGATTTTTAACTCACAGCACATCAGGCACTGATCCATCAGACTCCCTGCTCCACCCCTGAACCAAAATGGAGAGATTTTAGCTGCTACAATACTGACCTGATGAAGCCAATGGGAATGGCACTTCTCTGATCAGGGGAAGGAGGAGGATGTTGCTGGGCAGAAGATGGTTTCCTGCTAAAAAGCTGATTCTGCAGTTTAGGTCAGCACTGAAATTGTACCTTGCAAAGTAAGCAAGAAATTGGGCAGGATTGGAAAAGTCAGTAATTGGAGAGGGAGGTCAGTCAGGAAAGACCCTAGGTGTCTTTGTGGGACACAGTGAAGCAGAGGAACACCGTGATAATTTAAGTCAGGAGTCCACTATCTAAGTCCAGATTTTAACAATCTGTCACGCATAAAATAGTTTCTGCAAAGTTCTATGGTGTAATGGTTATGTCCCTACCTCTGGGCTAGGAGACCCAGGCTTAAGTCCCACCTCTCCAGACATGTATTGTAACACATCTGAACAGGTCTATGATAAATATCTTCAATGATGTCTATATAAGAAGAGCCCCCTGACCCCAGTTTAAGGTTGGGATTACTTGGAGTGGAGATATGAGCTCTGTAGAGAGTAGTACAGGGCATCCCCAATTTACAAACCCTCATTTGTACTTACAAACACACTCCCATGCATGGTTTTAAAGACCCGATATACACATATTTCCCATGCTTATGAATGGCTGTATTGCATTCCAACATGTGTACAAATCCACATGCAAATGGACTCTATAGAGCCCATTCACACCCCAGGAACTGTCTGTAACTAATCTGTACCAATGTATTGTCGCTTCAGACTTAGCAGATTGGCTTGGAAATCCCCCGACAAAAACAAATCCCTCATTAGCTTCCATGTCAAATTTCACTTCATAAAGCTCTTGTAAATTATCTTTTGATGTTTTGCTGCAGTAAAGGTGCTAAATATTTGCAGATTGTGTTAAAAAAGAGAGAATGGAAGATTTAAGAAAAACCAAAAGAGCTGCGGATGCTGTAAATCAGGAAACAAAACAGAAGTTGCTAGAAAAGCTCAGCAGGTCTGGCAGCCTCTGTGAAGAAAAAAAAGTTAACGTTTCGGGTTCGGTGACCCTTCCTCAGAAAGATTTAAGCCTTGTTTCTTAGAATGAAACATCTCTGTGCATCATAGCTGCAGCAAAAAGTTTCTTGGGTGTTAGATTGACAAGCATCGGAGCTGGATCAGCATTGGGGAGAAAATGTCTCAACTGCATGGATCAGTTATTTGCATTTTAAATTTTTTTTATGTGTGTCTGCATAGTGGTGCGCTCCTCATTATTTTCGGATATCTAAGCCAGTGCTTTCCAAACAATTTCCCCGTGTACCACCATTTTAATGCCTGTGTCTTCACCTGACCTCTAGGTGTTGAATCTGGAGAGTGGGCTTCAGCTGCTGAGTGGGTACATCCTCTGGCAAGTCTTTAAGTTGCAGGGTTTTTGGGAAGAAAACACCTCCCTTTTTATTTTTGGAGCAGGAAGCAGGCCTCAAAGATCTCAGTGTCTGGCCACGTCCACCATTAGAAAGAAACAAAGTATTAAAGGTGTGCGGCAACTGATAGCACTTGGTTTGAACTGCCTCAGAGTACATGACCTTAGAATGTTGTCTCGAGATTCCCCTACAGCTCATAATCCACAATTTGGGAAGCCCTTGTCCAAACTGTAAGTGATTTCAAAGATTGCTCTAAACTAACCTTGCACTAAGGAATTTGATGAAACTGGTGATTTCAGCTGCCCCTACTCTCTCAGCCTTTTTTACATGATCCCAGAGGTCCATGATGTTTGGGTGACTTGGCAGTTAGTGCACTTTGGAGCCAGTTTAGGAGCTAGGTCCATACAAACTACCTCAGCCAGGACAGGGATCAAACCTTTGCTGTTGGTGTTAGTTTGTGCCAACACTTAACCAACAGGGCTAACCTTATGCACATCTTTATGTTGATGGACTGATGTTGATGTAGCATCAACTGATGTTGATAATGGGGTATTTCCTATTCCTGTCCAAATACAACAGCAGAATGTTTCAATTTGGGTCAAATCACATTATTACATGGTTACAGTGAAAATGAACACTCATGACTGGCACAGACACACACACGCAGACTGTGCAACAGTGAACGTACAGTCTGGTTAAACAAACACTACTCAGAACAGTAGACCGTCCTTCAAAACCATGTTTAATACAAACAAAGTGAACAGCAGATGAGGGAAGTTTATTTAAACATAACAAGTTGTTATAATGTGAAATTCAGTGCATTAAAGAGCCGTGGAAACAGATTCAATTGGAGCTTGCAAAAGGGAATTGGATAACCCCTTGATGAGGGAACATTTGCAAGTGTACAGCATAAAGCAGAGTGTTGGGACCTGATTGCTTCCAACCTGATAATCCAACGAGCTAAAAGACCTCCCTGCGCTGGAGCATACTGTGATTTGATACTCCTGCTCTCAATCATGATCTGGTATGCCAGTCATTTCTCTGCTCGTTACTCTGTAGAAAATCCTCTTTAATAATCTTTTACTATACTTTAAATGCACAAAGTGACGAATTTCCATGTGATTTTCTGCTGAGCCATCCAAACTTCCAGCAGTTACTGTTTCTGAGTTTGTTTCAAACTTGAAACTTCAAACATTCATGTGCTATTATGTCAGCAGTGTATGAAGTTTAAAATCAGTTGAACATACCATTGGAAAACAGTTATCAGAGCAACTTTTCATTGGTTAAGCACTTGTGAACTGAGTATGGCATTAATTCTGTCAAACTGAGTTGTCAACTACGTAAGAAGGTCCTTGTCCTTCGAGGAGGATGAACTAGATTGACTCCTGGCATGAGAGAGCTGTTTTATAGGGAGAGATTAAGTGTATTCTGGTGTTTAGAAGAATGGGAATTAAGTGGTTGCTTTGAAACACAAGAAAGGGTATAACAGGGTAAATGCCGCTTTCCCCCTGGTTGGAGAATCTGCAGTAGGTGATTGTAGTCCCTACATAAAGCTGAAAAGACATTTCGTCACTCAAAAGGGTTGTGAATATTTGGAATTCTCTATCTTCTAGTGCTGTCAATGCACAACCATTGATTGTTTTCAAAACTGAGATTGATTGATCTCTAGTCACCAAGTGATAGTGGGGATAAAGCAAAGATGAGGGGTTGATATTAAAGTTTGGTTGTGATTTTATTGAATGGCAAAGCGGGCTTGTAGGTCATACAGCCTAGTGCTGCTATTGCTTGTGTAAAATTGTAGAATGGTTACAGTGGAGAAAGAGGCCATTCAGCCTTTATTCCCATGGTGGCTTTCTGCAAGAGCACCTCAGCTAGTGCCACTCTCCAATCTTTTCCCCATAACCCTGTGATGATTCAAAAGCCATGATTGAATCTGCCTCCATCACACTCTCAGACAGTGCATTCCAGATCTTGATTGCTCGCTGCATAAAAGAAATCTTCCTCCTGTTACCTTTCATTCTTCTGTCTATAAATCAGTGTCCTCAGTTTATTCATTATTGGGAACTCGACCTATTCAGCGCTGACTCCTCATGATTTTGAACATCTCTATTAAACCTCCTCTCAACCTTCTCCTCTCTCAGGAAAACAGCTACAGTTTTGTCATTCTATCCATGTAACTGTTGTTTCTAGTTATTATAAACATCTTTCCTAAAGTGCAGTGTTCAGAATTGGACACAATACTCTAGTTGATGCTAAACCAGTGTTTTAGAGCTTCCTTGCTTTTGTACTCCATACACCATTAGTAAAACCTGGGATCGGCAGCATTATTCAATATTATCAGGTAACCAATGTTTGAATTATGAATGCAATTCACCTTCCAGACGCTAACATTAAACCCTGCTGCCCATATCATAA